AAAAAAAAATGAAACGTAATGCTACTGACTTTGCTCCTTGTATAAAATGTAAAGGTTTTTTTTCCAAAAATAGTATTAGACATCACTTTAGAGTTTGTAACGAGAAACAGGGTATATGTGTCAAGTCAACTTTAACATTAGCACGTAAAATAGTAGGTCGTGTTCATAAAGATGCTTGCCAACTATTACGAGATAAAGTTTTACCTGTAATGAGAAAGGATAATATAGTACGTCTCATTAGATATGATTCTCTCATTATAAATTATGCTAATAAAATGTGCAAAAAATATGCTGTACAACATCAGCATGACATGATAAGAGCTCATCTTAGACTTCTAGGCCGATATCTCATTACGTTGAAAGAAATTAATGCAGAAATTACAGATTTTGCTTCACTTTACGATCCGAAATTTTATAATATAGCAATCAGAGCAGTAAATATACTTGCTGGCCTTGATGAGACAACAAATACATATAAAACTCCTAGTGTAGCAACCACACTTGGTACATGTATTAAAAAAATAGGGCTAATTTTAGAGAGTGAATGTATTAAGCAACATAATAAAGAGAAAAAAGAGCATGTTCATGATTTCTTGTCTCTTCTTGAAGAAGATTATGGTTGTACTGTAAATAGGATCGTATCAGAAACTATTATTTCAAACAAACATAACAAAAAAGTAATTCTTCCATTAAAAACAGATATATCCAAGTTAAATCAATATGTGATAAATTTACGTGAATCTTCATATCAGAAATTACAAGAAGAATATATATATGAAGCATGGTTAAATTTAATAAAATCGACTCTTATTAGCATACAAATATTTAATCGACGTAGAGCGGGTGAAACAGAACGATTATTGATAAATGATCTAAAAAAAATTGAAAAAATTGATGAAGGTGATGAACAATATCGACAATTACATCCAGAAGAAAAGGAAACTGCTATAAAATATAGACGTGTTATTATCCGTGGAAAACTTAGAAGATTTGTCCCAATATTATTGGATTGTGATATGCGGAAATGTTTAAAAACTATCCTAAAGTACCGAAAGAATGCTAATATTTCTAGTAAAAACCCATATGTATTCGGAGTACCAGGATATAATCTAAAACGTCATAAATATCTTAGGGCTTGTACATTAATGCGTCAATTTGCTCATGAATGTGGTGCTAAACAGGCAAACACATTACGTGGAACAATTTTGCGAAAACATATCGCAACAACATGTGCAAATTTAAATTTGCCTGAGAATAAAATAGAAAGTTTTGCAAATTTTATGGGACATCACGAGAAGATTCACAAGGAAATATATCGTCAACCTGTGGCATCAATCGATATCTTAGATATGTCTAAAGTTTTAGAAAAAGGACTTAGTATGCCTAACAAAAATCCTAACATTAATCGTGACACTACAAAAAGCGGAAATGACCAAGAAACCGACATTAATAAATGGGAAACGCCCCAGAATTCTAATGGTGACATTCAGATAGATAAGGATTTTGATATGCCCAAAGGTAAAGATATTTTATCCTTATATTATTCTATAATACATATATTTTATAATATATATAATACATAAGTATATGTATATATATATATTTTTTTTTCTCTTGATTTATAATATATATAATGTATAATATTGATTTTAATAAAAAAAAGGTATAGTAAATTTTGTCTAAAATATACATAAAACTAGAAGTTTTATTATTTTTAAATATAATATCGTGTGTCGTGTATGTGTGAGAGAAAGAATAAGAGAACACATTAAAAATAAATAAGAGTTTAGAATATTTTGATATAAATACATATTTCAGAATTCACTGTTAAAAATAAATGTCATAATGTTGAAAATAATTAAGTTTCAGAAACAGAAGCAAGTAATAAAAATCAACAAAAAGTGGTTACCTACTCTAAAAAGAAAAAACGTTCAAGTAAGTAAAAAAATATCTTTTTCGTTATATACAAGGTACTTAAGTAAGTTGACAGAAGTTTAAAAAATGTAAAAAATGTATAAAATACATCGCACCGAGAAATAGGGCCGAAATTATTTTGGAAAGTATCATGTAAAATGTCGGATTATTACAAAAAAATAGATGTACAAATACGATGCGGTAAACTCTTTACCATTTTGAGTTGAAGCTGTCGAATATTCACGTCGACTGTCCTTGTTTGATAAGTTCTGAAGCGAGAATTTGCATGCCAAAAATACTTGGGGTATATATTGGAATAAAATTGCAGTAACCACCAAATATATAACAGTTATATAAATATTAGTATAATTTCCTATTCAACAATGTAACTTATATAATGTGTATTATATAATTACATTGTAGAATAAGAAATTATAATTAATAATTATGTAATTGTTATATGATGTTCACTAGGATATATAAATAAAACGGATATATAATAAAACGATACTTGTGCACTATTCAAAAATTGTAAAATGTTGAGAGAGAAAGAGAGAGACAGAGAGAGAGAGAGAGAGAGAGAGAGAGAGAGAGAGAGAGAGAGAGAGAGAGAGAAAGACGATGCGAATAAGCTGAGGAAGGAGCCTCCGGAACGAGAAAGAGGAAAAGACGACGTTGGAGAAGAAGAAGAAGAAGAAGAAGAAATAGGAGAAGAAGAAGAAGAAGAAGAAACAGAAGAAGAGAGGGAGAGGAGAAGGAGGAGGAGGAG